CACATGCCGAGGAATGTGTATGAGCCGGCCCCACTGAGCATTGGGCTGAAATAACAAGTCCAGTGAACGGATTGGCACTGGTGGTTGTGTGGGCACCAAGGCAGTGATGACATCTCCCGGGGCTAGGCGCACCAACTGTTGGGGCGAGCAGGGCGTCTGACTGCAGCCTACATAGATGTGGTAAAAATCCAGGTCAGCCCTTGTTTGAGGATAAATATAATCATATAGGTCCTCGAACTGGATGGTGACTGGAAGCACCGTTGCGTAGTAGTGACCGCCTACCCTGCTTAAATCCATTACAACCGGCACGTGTCCCGAGGGTCCTAGTTTCTCTAGCGCCTTATTGTAGACCAGGACTGTGGCATATCCCGCATGCCGCTGCGGACTGACAGGAACAGCAGAATCATAGAAACCGTGGTACAAAGCCATCCGCAGATCCAGGATGGCACAAAGTAGCTCGGTTGCATTGCTGTCTCTTGTGATATTGACTGCCCATTCCGTTGTCTGACAATGAGGGGCCATGACCGAAACACCTAGCCAGTCGTCAGTGCTGCGGTGGGAAGCCTCTTCCTCAGGAAGCTTGAGTACTCTACTGGTACCGGGTGCAAAGTTATTGTGGCCTGTTGCACTGAACCGGGCTGGCCAGGCTAACGAGACAACATCAACTGGCTCTTGTGCCGGAGTTGCTGCAAAACTGTAAGCGGCTTCGACCTGGCCTTCAACATGTATTGCTGCCGGCAGGCCTTCCGGAAACAGATCTTCATAGGTAGCTTGATTAGCCAGGTCCGGGCTGTCCATGGCGAAGACACAGTGACTGCTGCTCAGAGCACTGGCAAGCAGGAGGTATGGCACCGAGATACCTGTAGACAACTGTTGTGGCACGCTGCAACACATTCCAAACCAGGCTAACCACCGTCCTAGTTTTGGCTGCTGTTTGAGGCACCGCAGAGCAGAGCGGCGTTGCTGCCGTGGTACCTGGCGCGGCTGCGGGACCTCAGCCCTCGTGCGCATGTTATGGCATGCTCGGAGACAAATCCGTACCGGTACTCCCAGGCTTTGTGTGATTCTTCTGCTAGCACCCCGAACAGGCCGGCAGGCCCCTTCTCCTAGAACACCCAGAAAGACTAGGAGTACGTAGAAACTCAGCATGAGTGCACAAGTCGGGAGCTGAGACTGAAAAGGGCAGTCCCGTGGAAGGCGCTCTCGGATCGTATTCAATGTGCTCAAGGCCCTGAGGCTGCCATACAAGGCGCCATTGCAGTCGGCCTGCAGCCTCATACTATACCAGGAAAGCCCGCAAGGCACATCTGGTTGCTGAACACCGCTACCTACACAACCCTCAGGCCTAAACCACAAGGCAAGGGGGTCGGGATGGGTGCTAATTTGGCCTCGCACGGGCTGCTCATTGCCAGGTGTTGACCTGACCCGACCTCGGTCTCCGTTGCGGCAGGGGCACTGCAGTCGGAAATGGCCTGTGGCTGAAGGCCTGTCCTGACCTATAACCTGCTGTACAGCTGCTTTGGGTCCTCCTATACAAAAACGACTGTACACAGGCCATCCATTCTCAGAAAAGGCCGAGGCTTGGTTGTGGCGTGAGTACCTGCTCAACTCGAGGCGTATCTCGTGCATGCCAACCTGAACAGGAAAGAACCCCATGATCCTGTCAGGTTGGCACACAGCCGGACCCCCCAAGGAGGGCGCTCTCATGCCAACAACGCTGCACTCGCGACAGCGCTTGATCCAGCTGGTGCTTGTTCGGGCTCGCTTGCCTGCCGGACTTGGACAAGCGAAGCCGTCCGTCGCTAGCCCATGCGGTTGAGATTCGGGCTGGCCTGTATCTCCTGCTCCAGATCTATTGGCATCTCCGAGGCTTCGGTCCTCGTGCCGGCCTCGCCTTCGACCTTGGCCTCCGTCAGTAGGGGCCCGGTACCAAAGGGACGCATAGCTGTCCCTTCCGCCGCTAAGGCCGCCTCTCGGGCCTTCTCCAATCTTGCATGAAGTGCTTTCTCTGGTGGCGCTGTCTTGAGCGGCGCTACCACAGTGGGTTTGACCGGTGCTCGATGGCCTCGTCCTGGTGACGGCTTGGCTTGGCCAGGAGTGACATTGGCAGCCATGGGGCCACGAGTATGCGAAGGCGACAGCTGGAAAGGATCCTTTGGCATGTCTGGCACTGTGTACCTCGGAGACTGATTCGCAGGCAGTGGCCTCTCCGTGGCTGCCAGCAGCTTGTCTCGGTCCAAACCACATGCGTTGAGGGCTCGTTCCAGGACACCCGCCGGTTGTTCCGATCTCTGCCGCTCCTTGCGCCAGGCCGCCATCATCTCCTCCCACTCCGTGTCGTGCGTCGCCTCCTGGTTCTGGATCTCCTCGGGCCCATCCACCACAATGGCCCTCAGCTTCTGTCGGGCCTGCGCTTGTATGTCGAGGGCAGCTTCCAGGTCCGCATCTATCTTCGCCACATCCTTCTGGTGACGTGCCAGCTCGTGAAGATACGAGTTCTTCATACGCTCCAGCCATCCATTCCAGAGTTCTTGCTTGGTGTTGCGTGTGGCTATCAAAGTACGCACCTTCTGCTCTGCCTTCCTGGCGTGGTTGATGTTGTCCTGGAGGGCCTGAACCAACATCGACTCGGGGTCTCTCGGCGTAGTAATCCCGGTCTTGCCGGGTTGGCTGCCCTTGGAGCTCCCTTTGCCCTTCTGTGCAGCATCGTATGATGGGAAGGACGCAGGCGAAATGGCCTTGTCCTGCGCAAACTGATCCCACCATTTGTCCTCGGCTTGATACCAGGACCCAGGCCAGTACTGCCATCGCATGTTGTAGTCGTCGTCGCCATGTTCCTTGTGCGGTTTCCATGGCTTCTGCTGTCTGCCCATCCGATCAAGAACTAGTCGTTGATGCGGGGCAACCGAGTGGTTCGAACGAAGGGAATGCACCTGACGGTAGGACAGGGGCAGTCCTGCTCTCAAGCGAGCTCGGATGATCGATCTTGTCGCACGCTGATGCCGGTGCCAGTTAGGCGACCGTGGGTGCTTCGTGTTGCACCGCGTGCTGGGGCTACAGCGATCTCCTACAGTCTCCGCTGCGGAGTATTCTGAGCCCTAAAGGTAGTAATAGTAGTTATACTTGTAGCCCATTCTTCCATTCCCTACTAACCAAAGGTAAGATATAGGATTATTAAGGCCCCGACAGTATAGTACCCATGATAGATCCCTTATAGTAGCCCTTATAGACCCATCTATAAGGCGTGAGCTTATCGCCGAGGACCGGGCCAGGCGCTTCTGCAGAAGTCCTTCGATGCTGATGCCGAAGAGCTACGAGGGTAGTAGGAATAGTAGTAGTAGTAGTAGTAGTAGTAGTAGTAGTAGTAGTAGTAGTAGTAGTAGTAGTAGTAGTAGTAGTAGCGGTAGCAATAGCAACAGCAATGCTTCGAAACCGTGCGCCCGATCCACAGTGAGTCCTGAACAATGTTTGCAATCAGCAGCGTGACCTTCTCGTTGATGTTTGCGGCATGACTCGAACCGACCTCAGTTTAACGACAGGTTCCTGTAGTCCATTCCGCGATCCGTTTGACAACCTCGAGCCACGTCTTCTAACGAGAATTTTGCGCGCACCTCCGGCGTCAGGAAGCCGCGAAGGTGGTCAAACATGTCTTTCTCGGCCTGACAGCAGCCGCTATGAAGCTGCCATGTTTTCACGAGACTCCGGTCATGGTCGAATTGAACCTCGCCTTGCTGCCCTCGTGCTGAGCAGAATGTCTGCTTATGCAAGTCATCAGGAGCAAAAGAAACCAAGGAAGTCGCAACTACTGGGGAATTCAGACACCCCAGCTTTGCCATGGCTGCACAGCCAAGATTACTGGGGAGTTAAACTCTGCCGCGCCAAACCGGGAAGAAACACTCAACCGACCCATGTTCTCAAGCTGCAAGACTGCAAGACCGTAGCACCGACAGGCCCTGAGCTGCTAAGCCGGAACTCACTAAGCTCAACCCTCCTACGATCATGCATGGGGGGGAGATTTGGAGGAGCACTGACGTCAAGTTACAATTTGACGGACGAGTCTCTTTCAAAACCGACAACATATACGACAAACCCTGTTTCGAGGATTTCCCTTGAGAATCATTCGAAGGCAAGATTGTCCCGGCTGTCTGCCATGGTCGAAGGCACCACACGATGTGGAGCATCAACAAACCGGTTGCGATGTGCTTGGCTCAGATGTGCAGTGCTCTGGCCTCGAATTTCCTGCTGTCCTTCATTGAGAGCTGCGACAGCTGAATCATCAGACTGGAGAAACAACCTACCCAATCTGCTTGCTGACAAAGCTTTTGGTGACTCGTTCCAATACTCTGTGAGAAGTTGCTGTGTAGGAGACCTCTTTCCCACACCCCGCAAGCCTCTTAGATCGTTTCTTTAGAGTCCGTTGCTGCATGGACGCTGCATGGTGGCCTTCTTCCTTTTGTTGTCATCCTTCTCGCCAAGGTTGACGAGAATGCCTTAGCAGACTGACAAGACATACTACAACGCAAACGACACATGTCAAGGCCGTTACCTCGCAGAGTTTCATCTGCCATGCACGTCACGGGACTAAAGCTGCAGTAATACTTATCTGTTGTATGAGTGCTACAACATTCAATGTGTCTTTGGCTGGAGCCGCATACAACCAGCAGATTATGAGAATGAAGTCAAGTAAGTGCGAAGCGCGATGCCATGTTTCATGGTGACATAAAGTCTCATCAGCTCATCGTCACAGCTGCGTGTGATCTTTTGGCTAAGCTGATTTCTGGTCTTTGCCAAAGACGCACGTGCTCGTATCCGCACTGTTCCGCGCAGCTCCACCCATTGATGGGTGCAGACTGTTGAAAGCAGGCTGCGGCCCCAGAGTGTCATGCTCTTTAACTGAATTCGACAAGGACTCGGGAGCTTCAAGCCTGGCTCTACGCTTGGACTTGCTCAGAAGCCAACGTGGACCCGAGCCATGTTCGAATGGTTTGGTTGAGGATGTCTTAGAAGCTCCGAGATTTACTGTCCGGTCGGGCCCCGCTGGCAACTGGCAACCACTGCTGAAACGTCTCTGTGTATGCGGTGACACCTGCAGAAGATCCACACCATGAAATGGTCGCGGAGCTTTCCACGAAAGTCTTCAAATCAGCCTTCACAGCAAAAAAACAGAACAGGCTCGACCCCCAGCGAATGCATTTCCCGGCCCGCTCAGACATGTACGTGCAAGTTGTTAACTTCCACACACACAGTGGAACATTCTCCCAGACAGACCAACTAGCCTGCGCGGCTTCGCCTGCCACGGTCATGGCCGTGCAGCTGCTGCCTCTGAAGCAAGCGCAGCTGCCTAGGTGCACGCTGGATGCAAACTAGGCAAACCTCTCACATCGCTCAGCGGCTCAGCGTGTTCGAGGCTCGAACCATTTCGTTTACACGGCGCTCCTCCTCGGACAAGGCCCTCGGAATTGCAGCTGTGCACATCCATGAGGCATCTTCTAGATCTGCAATAACACACATGCTTCGGCGTCTTTTGCACGTCGCATGGATCTCATCAAGTATCGGCAGATGCGTCTTGGAGCTGCTTCGCTTCGGCGCTCTTCCTTTGAGGCCTAGACTAGCATCGTCCTTGGTCCAGCCTGTACACTGAGCAGGAAAACTGGGGGAGTGAAACGACAGGGGACCCGAAAGGAATGGAATTGATATACCGATTGCTGAGTTGTTTCCAGCCTGTCGTCTCACTGAGAGCGACTGCCTTCTTTATGTTTTCTTTTTTCCAATTATTGCCTATGCGCCTGTCACACCAATGAAGGATGCCAGCCTCAGCCGACAAGGCTGCACCCAATTGCCAAGCGATGCCAAGCAGCAGGATTCATGAAGTCATCTCCGATCGCAGCCCTGGCCCTGGCTTGCTCTCTCTGCGGACCAGGCACCCAGCCACGTGCCTAGGGCTTGTATCTTCCAGAATCGACAAACGGCTGAATGCACCCAGCCAGTTGTGCGGGACCAGTCCACACCATCTCAATCTCGTAGTATAACCTGGAACCGGTCTTGACATGTCTCGTCGGCAAGTTTGTCACATCCCATAACTTCAAGTGGTAGCCAGGGAGCGTAGCATTTGGCGGGATGTCCTGGCAGTAGAACCAGGAGCTTGGAGGATAGCAAAGAACAGTGAAAGCACCGGAAAACGCTCTGCACCCAAGTTGCCTGATCCTCCATAGGCTCCATCACACTCCTGACGTTAGTAAGTGTTGAACGTTACATGTGATGACGCAGCACTTGGTCAGTGTCTCTACTCGTTGCTTGAACCCGGCGTCCTGCCCTTTTTGCCAAAGCCAAACCTCGAAGGAGCTGATTGATGCTCGCTTGATTCGCTTGACTCAATTTTCAAGCGGACTGCCAGCAACACGTGCAAGCTGTGCATAAAGACTTGCGGGCAGCACAGCTTCAGGACGAGGGGCTCTGGAGGTACTACTACTCGTCGCAGCTCTCCCGGGCGCATACCCAGGACTGCATCCGTCAGTGAAGGCGGATCATATGGCGTCAGAGGCGTCTGCGAACAGGGATTGCACTGAATACCGCAGATCTCATCCAGCATGTGAGTGCCGTAGCCTTTCCAACCTTGATCCTCTTCGGCGTTTGGTAAGGCCCAACCTCCTCAGACACTGCAGGCGGATGCAAGCACAGCCATCACAACGTCAGCACGAATCCTCAGTGCAGGGCCATTCGGCCCACTAGCGTGAGCTCCCAGGGCAGGCCCTCCTCGAAGTTTTCCAGCCAGGCTCGGTGCTTCACCCTGCAAAGGCATTGAGAACCTTCGAGAACCCTACGGGGCGTGTGCTGCCCACCTGACCAAGTCGCCCATCTGTGCTGGTTCGCACTTGCCTTCTCGGAAGACCTGAAGCGGCATCCAGACAGAAACGGCAGCAACTCTCGTCTCTCGTGCAGGCAGTGGCGACCTCTCGTTTCTGCCACAAGATGCTCCATCGGCACTGCAGCTACAGTATCACCCAGTGCCATACTTCCGACTGCGGTGCCTGATAGTCCATCTTTGCATAAGGCGTTTGGCCAGTTCGCAGCACTTTGGTAAAGTCGATCTCCTCCTCGGCATGTGCCTGAACTGCGAATCACCAGTTCCGAAAGAGTTTGCCGGAGACTTTAAATGCGAGGCACATCGGGCGCAGCATCGAATAACAGAGATCCGGCAACACCTGCCATCCTCAGCACAGGGCGAAACTGGAAGGTTCTTGGCTTGCCAATCTTGCTAGGAAAAAGCACCTCTCGATTCGCAAGCGGCTACACCGGCTGGTCATGGTCCAAGTTCGAAGAAGCGGCATGGCACGTCGCCCATATTCCTGCGATGGTCTACCTGGCGCAAGGAAGGCCAGCGGCAACCAGGCCGCCGAGGCCAGGAGCGCGAGCGCAGGCCTGGAAAACGCCCGGGAGCACGGAGACGGAGCATCTCTCTGTGAGCCCCGAGGGCCCCGCACTGCGCTTCGCCGTGCCATGGCTGAAGCCCGGGGCCCGGGCAGTGATCTACTTTGAGCCCAAGGTCAGAAGCGAAGAGCTGCCAATGTTCTCGAGCTACGACAGGACCATCCACAATCTGCTTCGAAGAGATGCGTCCACTCCAGTTCCCACGGGCTCTGGCAGACGGCGAGTCGGCGAGGAGCTCGATCCACTCTCGCTGGTAGATCCCTGCAACAGGAACAATGGCAACCTTACAAAAAGGGCCGAGTGCAAAGTTTCAAGCGAGCCTCTGGGGTTGCAATCACTTCGCCAACCACCGGAACAGACCTGCAGAGCTCTTTTGTGAAAACACCATGGAAAAGCACTGGAACCAAAAAAGCAGAGGAGTACCAAACAAAAGCTCTACGCGACATGCAAATCTCATGGCTCAGGTCTACACGAGTACGGATGTCCATCTCCGGGCGCCAGCCCCTGCAATCAACGGATTGAAAGGTTTGAAAAAGACCCCATGTGAAGAGTAGCACAACCAAAAATACATCGCAAGCCCGTCCTGGTACAAGCCCTTGCCGGCGCCAAAGGAAAGGCAGCTGAACCATGTCAGAATCTGAGCAGGGTGATTCTTGGCAGGGTGTTGCCCAAACTGTAAAAAAGCGGACAGAGATGCTTGGTGTGTGTTCTACGCGTCCCCCAGCATCGTCTGGGGTGACTACCACGAGGCTGCCAAGAAAAAGATAGCGAAGCGGTCCACCGCCTGTTTGGAGACTTCGGTAAGCCGTCACCAGCCTTGAAGCCACTGAGAAGCAAACTGTGCATCAGCTCGCAGTCTCGCTGCTGCGTAGCATATGCCTCAAGCGCACACCTCAGGTGACGGAGAAAGGAAGTCATCCGTTTCACGACGCTCTTAGGACAAGAAAAAGGGTCTCGGGCGCTTCGGCCCCACCGCCCATGCGGATGACATACCGCAGGAAGTTGATGCTGTAAGCCACCTCGGAGCCACAGATTCACTGCTCGAGACCTCTACTGAGCGGTTGAAACTCAGAGGTCGACCACAAAGATAAGGTTAGCGCCACAAAAGAAAAAGAGTAAAGTCCTGACCAGGCTGGACTACTAACACATGTTCAACATCAAGATTACTATGTCATGTTCCATGTAACGACTCCCAGTGCCTTCTGCGCATGTCCGTAGGTTGCTGAGAAGCTTCGGGTTGTGCTCTGTTCCTTGTGCACCCCCTGTCCTGTGGGTGTACAACGCACCGTAGTATCCGCATGCGGGGATGCTGAGCTCAATGATGAGCCTGGGCAGGTCGCCGAGCAAAGAGAGCACACATAAGCTGATGATAGTCTAGGGCCTAGGGTTCAGGCTGGCTGCACCCCGACCACAGCTCGTCTGGGGAATTTGGATCGCCTGAGCACAGCTTCGGAAGCCAAGCAGCAGTTCAGACGGGGAAACACACTGTCCAAGCCTGGGTCGGTGTACTGACCCAGGAGCAGTCTGGCGATGAAAGCGCAGATATAGTAGGTCGAGCCTGCGTGACATAATGATCGATGCAACTGCTGGTACCTGGGACAAGAAACTCTGAGCCACCAGGCTGATGACAGACAGCACGACAACTCGCTTCACAGCCTCCCATGTCGAGCAGCTGCTCGAAAGAGCAGGAAGACACTTCACAGTCACTATACCAACAACATAAGTTGGGAACTCATACACGTTCGGTCTTTGGGTGGCGAATGCTTTTAAAAGAATATGCCAACAGCAGAACAAAGAAGAATCGGAAGAAGTTACAGAGTGAAGGCCGCATGCCCGCAAGGTGAAATCTGAAGAGCAGGCGGTATGCCCTAACTTTCAACAGATCTTCCGAGAATCGCTCCGGCTGCTGTAGGGGTTGGCAACACGACACATGCCCCTGCGTAGCGACGAAAATGAATGGTTAGGGATAAACAGTTCTCGGAATCAAACTCTTGCACATCACACATGTCCGCTAGAAAAACCAGTTGCGCTTTTCGATTACAAGCACCATCTCGTAACTGTCATACTTCATGTCATAATGATGCATCATGCAGACACTCTGGAAGACAATGCCTTTTGTGCCGCATTCTGTGCCCAGAGACGTTTGCGCAGCTAAGGACTGCACGAAACATCCTCCGCTAGCAGGCTATTATGTCACATTGTTCCATAGGACCTCACATGGAGTGCGAGGCAAGTGAATTACGATGCCACCTCCACTGGCACTCCCGGCCGGAAGCAGGCATCAATACGTGCAAAGTCTCTGCACACCGCTCATGGATGGCGCTGAAATTCCCGCGAACAGGTCTCCCATCTGCAGCCGGCACTGTTGTGCAGCACTCGACGGCAAGAAAGCAGACATGCTCAGGTACTTTTAGTTGCAAAATTCGACCTGTGCATAAGAGAAGACTTCGTCGGCAAGCACATAGCACACGGCTCACAAAAAAAGGGTTTAAGTAAATCTCAAGCACATCTAACTGACGAAACTGTTCACCCATCGTGCACTACGGCTTGCCGAGAAGAAAGTGGCTGTCAAGGCATTACAACTGCTTCAGATCTGCTTCGGCGCTTAGGCTCTTCCAGCAGCATCTGACAGAAGCGACAGGACCTTTGGGAGTGGCAGCCAGCAAGGCATCTCTCTCACACAGGGCACAAGAGCAGCTTCACAACACTTACATTGAATGGGCACCTCCTTGTGTGACTCGCCCTTTTTCTTCTGAAGAACAACCTGCACATTCCGAACGGATTCACACACTCTGAAACAGCAGGCTGGTGCATCCGGCCATGCTTTCGGTTCCTTGACACGCCTCCTGGGCGGTCTTGCCAGCCGAGTTTTTCAGAGCTGGGTTTGCCCCCTGCTCCAGCAGCAGTTTGACCTTACTGAAGAAAGTATCTACGCTAAACCGCTACACCATCATCAGCACCCACTCGGAAGCAGACCATCTTTGCATTTCCCACCTCTGCAGCCTTGTGCAACGGGTACGTGCTGCTGAAGAAGGACTTCTTTGCATTGTTGATGCCAGAAAAGCCTGACCAGGGAGAAGCTGATCGCAAAGCTCACATCCACCAATCGTCTGAATGCATTGCGCTAGACTCAATAGCCTAGACATCAAACAGGCTATAAACAAAAGGAGACTCCGATGAAGCTGCGAATCACCTGCTGGTGTAGCAAAAACGCTCAAACAATCGTTCCGGAGATCGAGCCTTGCTTCTTGATCCATGCCATCACTTCGTTCTTGTGCTGTGCCAACTCCTAGCACGAGCTCCGGGCACGTTTCGAGCTGAAGACTAAATAAAGCTCCCAAGAATGTCCATGTGATGTATCTCACCGCTCCTCTTGGCGCTTCTTCTCAGCCTGCTCAGCAGCGGCCTTCTCTGCTTCTGCAGCCTCTTTGGCTTCCTTAGCAAGCGAGGCATCCAAGATCTCTTTAGACGAAAGACAAAGCCTGTGCAAGCGAGCCTTTCACAACACGAATTCAAGAGCTCCTGACCTTCTCCCTCTGCTCAGCCTCCAGGCGTGCACGCTGTGCCTCCTCCAGAAGCGCTCAGGCCTAACACTGAGCCCATGAGGACCATGTGGAGACCGGAGCCAAGAGGAGTTCTGGTGACCCAACACCGTCAAAGGCACAGCTACAGACTGCATCCCGGCTCCTCCTGTTCTTTGCGACGGCGCTCTTCAGCTTCCTTCTCACGTTGCTGGCGAACCGCCTCCTCGCGTCAGAGTGATTCGTTCGCAGCTCCCCATCTCATTTCTGGTCGCAGACATGTCACTCTGCTGAATGACGAAGCCTTGGCAGCCTCTTCCTCCGCCTTGCGACGCCTGTCCTCCTCCTCCTTTACAGCCTGCACATACAGGCGCGGAGCTTCGGACCCTGCCTGATACACTGATGATCTGTGGCGCGAATCGGCGAAACTCATTCACCAAAGCTACAAGCAGTACTAGTTGGATGTATCGTCGAGCGTGGGGTAGCCTGCTCTTCTGCAACACGCTTGGCCAGATCTTCCATGCTGACCTGTCACATCGGATGAGTCAGGAGTCGAGGTACTGGTAACTGGTAATCTCTGCTCCGCCTTCACCGTGTTGGCAGAGGGGTTGGGAGGATTGCATGCGGAAGCGCAGCTGAAGTCGGCGAACATCGCGTCCCTGCTTCCGTGATCTATAACCGTCACAAATGCAGCGGTTAGGTCATATCCAAACGTCTCTCAGCGCCAGGCAAGCAGATATGAACAAAAAAGGCTCAGGATTTGGATGGCTTGAACAGTCTTCGGCAACAGGTTGTCATGCAAGCAATTCTGCAATCCATGACACGCAGAACAAAGAGCCGCAGGTGTGGCACATCCCTTCAGCTTGTCGCAACCACGGGAGGGCCAAACCTTGATGACGTTTGCATCGCCAGTTGGCACGCCGAAGGTGATACCAAACTCCTTCGCAAAAACTGACTGTGAGCAAGCTGACTGTGAGCACTTCAGGCAGGGTTCTTTTACTGCACTACGCCCCAAAGATTTCCCGCAAAAAGACGAAGCCCTTGCCATCAACTGAAACAAAGAGAGCAGCAAACAGAACACTGCTTGCAGCAACACCATGCTTGACTTCTGAAGATGTTTGCTTGAAGTGCAGTGGTGCTGAAGCTTGCAACATGACCACTTACATAAAGTGACAGTTCACTGCAAGTACTCTTCACTTGGACTGACAGCAGGGAGTTTTGTCTCTTGGGGGTTCCACTTTCTGGGCGGGCAGGTGATGCACGTGGTCCGTTGCTGGTACTGGTGGCATGTATAGTTATGATGATATTTGATACATGCTGATGCCATTTTGTCTTCAGGTACATGCACTTGGTGAAACCTGCTGTCGGTGTCCTCAGCTTGCAGCCTTCGGAGATCGGTTGCATCCTCGGCTGAGAGCTCGAACACAGGTTGGGCTGACAAGTAAAGCAGCGGCTTGGGATCGCTAAATTAGCGCAACTAGAGATTTCTGGTCGAGTGCTGTCATTCCAGATATTGATCTGTAGGCCGATGGCGTGTGAGAGACCAGCAACGGAAAGTCCCAGCACCAAGCGGAAAGCGACCTTGATGATGCACGTAAGTCGTCGAGTTACGTTGCAGCTATCATGCCACGATTCCTAAGAGACAAGGCCATGGCGTGAGCTCGAAGTAAAAGGCTCGGCCGACGACTTCTCATGACTCCGCCTCCCTGTGGTGCGCGTGTGATTTCACAATGGGTTGCTGTTTGACATCGGGAAAGCACATGTAAAGAATCTGGAAACTACAAGCTTGACAAATTGGGCCTGCACTGATAGGCGCGGTTGCGCCCAAGGGACTGCGACGTCCTGCTGAACTTGTCTCTGAACGTCGCTGCCTAGACAAGCTAATTGATTCGAAGGTGCCTTGTCTTGCCAGAACCACACAGCAGGATTGCAGAAGTGCAACGGTTGGACGACTGATACTCTGCAAAGGAATCCTGCATCTCGGCTGGCATGTCCACGACAGCAGCTTGAACCGTGGCGCTTGGCGGAGCAACCTAGGTGTTCGATGCTCCGCACCGCCGTCAATTGCCACAGGTTCTGTCATCTGCAACCTGGTCGCAACCCACACCGTGGGCTCATGTGATTGAAATCAAGAACTAAGTCCAAAGCATTGTTGCTCACTGCGGAAGGCTGTGCTGGTGACGAGCCGACGGCCTTAAGGATTCGCAAGGCGCCACCCCAAACGAAAGCATTTGGTAAACTCACGAGAACATGCAGAACCGCTTGATGAAGTCTGCCTCGTCTGTAGACTGCCCCAGTCCGTCAGACCTGCAAGCACGTCTTCCGGCACAGCAACACAACACACACCTCCCACACCCAAACTGATTGCTGCCAGCATGCATCGGACTCATTGGCTCAACGATGGCAGCTACCCTTGTGTGACCGTTTCGGGGCATGTGACATCACGCTGAGCCCGATCACGTTCATCAAAGATCGTAGCGCGTCGCCATGAGCAACCCGTCCACACCTGTCTCACCAATGCCAACACTAAAAGCAATCACGCCCACCACCACGCCCGCCACCAGCGCCACTGCTTCCATCAGCACCATACAACCACCACCAACACCCACCACCATGCAGCCAACAACAAGCAAAATGCAAGATAAGCAAAAAAGATCCTGATCCGCGGACATGTCACTTGCATACACATTCAGCTTTGCAACCCGTGGATGTTACAACATGCAGCGACACAAAATGAGTGCTGTTTCTAATGACATCCTCAAAAAACCCCAGCCTTCCACAAAAAAATAGCAGGAACTTTCCAAGATGGCCGTGCAACAGGTGCCTGCCTTCTGAAATTTAGGACACGGCGTCTCGAGAGCACTAGTAACGACATCTAAAAGGACACCTGCGGCAATGCAACGTAGGCGCAAGACGCGAGACACATGGCATGCTAAACGTGGCAATGCGGTTCTTGCGACTTACTTTCGAATGAGAAGCAACGTTCTCCTTGCGGATTCTTGGAGAGGGTATTGAGTTGACGTCAACAAACATGCCTTCGCTTCCAGCCGCACAAATGTTGCATGGATCTGCTGTGTAGTATGTTTGTCGTGGTTTTCCAGACCCTGAAACAGGGTCCGCGTAATGGCACATTTTTCAGCAATGTTTGTAACAGACGTCCTACCAAGCACATCAATGCTCAAGTCAAGGCATAAACATACCATGAAGGAAGAAGCAGCTCTTTGCTTTCGAACCTTGACTTTATGCCAGCAAATTCAGCATACGTGCTTCGGAGGTTTCGCAGCAGTTGCGTCAGAGATGAACAGGGGAGACCACTGGCAGAAGCCAGTTTCTAGCGTCAAAAACGGCGCGCAAAAAAAGGCATCTGTCCCAGCTTTGAACTCGTTGCCACTTGTTTTTCTTGAAGAATTTGGAGGAAATGTGTGCGCAAAAAACACAACGATAGAAAAGTTGTGGCTTTTCTTAATGGTTTTCCGGACCCTGAAAATAGCCGTTTAAAGGCTGTCGAAAGTGTGCAGGGTCGGAAAACTCTGGGCGGAGGCTTGCAGAGGAAACATTGAACACTTTTGGGGAACCTGGCAGCAACTGAAAATATCAATTTTTTTCAAACTCTTGCAGCAAAGCCAAAGCATCAAACGTGCTTTGGAGGGACCTGGCCGCAACTCCAAGCATCGGACGCCTCTTAGGGGGTTCTTGCAGCAAGGTCAAAGCACCAGACTGTGCTTTTGGTGGCCTGGCAGCAACTGAAAGCATAGACGTTTTTGGTTGGGCCCCTCGCAGCAATCTCAAAGCATCAGACGTGCTTTTGGGAACCTGGCGGCAAAAGAAAGCAGTAGACGCCTATTAGGGGGGCTCTTGCAGGAAACTCAAAGTGTCAGACTGTGCTTTTGGGAACTGGGCAGCAACTGGAAGTATCAGACGTTTTGTTGGGGCTCTCGCGGCACAGCAAAGCGTCAGACGTGGATGTGTTTAATCAACCCCTGGAGAAAGACCCGGAGACCACTAGAATAGACTAGAATGTTCGGCGGCGACTGGTGCCGGTACATTTCACGAGCGCCAAGCCTCGAAAAAACCGTGGTCCTGCAAATCCGTTTTTTCCCGAAAGCATCGCGAAGAGTTCTTCCGTGCGGAGCATGAGTACATAAATGACAGACATAGAATCGACTTACATGACTCTATACCTTACTTGACTTACTTACTTGACTCTATACCTTACGTGACTCTACACTTGATACTTGACTTTATGACGCTAAACCTTAAATACTTACTTGCTTAACTCCATACCTTACTTGACTTACTTGCTTGACTCTATACCTTACTTGACTCTACACTTGATACTTGACTCTATGCTATCTCTATGCTATGAACTTGAACTCTGTACTTACGTTTACTTACTTACTTAATACTTACCGAACTTGAACTCTATACTTACTGACTCTACTAACTTACTTACTTGACTCTATGCTGTCTCTATGCTCTCAACTTGAATTTGACTCTCTACATCTCGGTATCTGATCTCTCTTTTTTAAAGCCAGGGGTGGCACCGTCGTCATCCATCGGGAATGCAACCCTTCACAAGGATTGGCCACCTCGAGCGCCCAAACGCAAGGAAAAGTAACACATTTTTTAAGGCGTGCGGCGCAACCCTTCACAAGGATTCGCCTCCTCGGACGCTCAAACGATAAGTAAAGTAACACATGTTGCGGGCGCCGCGCAACCCTTGACAGAGATTCGCATCCTCGGGCGCTTAAACGATGAAGCTGCCACTAAGCAGCCAGTCAATAATGACTGCTCCCTGGAGCACATGGATTGAACAAAGGATGAAGTCCCAGGCTCCCGCTTCACCTTTGCAGTGAACCAGAGGCTGCAGCACTCGACCACGAGGGCTGCAAGCACAAGCACTGATTCGTTCGCAGCCCCAGGAGCCATTGCGTGGAGATTTGTCGTGGCCGTGGTAGCCGCATCCACGCATACCTGCAATCCAGCCGCTGTTGGAGGTTCAACATGCACGGCAATAAAGCGACGGAATGAACGTCAGTGTGTGGCTTCCGTCTGTTAAAGGTTAATCCATTCTTCACGCTGTTCCGAGTCCCACCTAATCCGACCAGAGGGCTATCACACCGCTTGCTCTCAGGAATCTTCAGGAGCTGCTCTCAGAAGCAGCCAGCTTTCAGTCCATCCGCCTCTGCGCCAAACTCCGCAAGGCAGTCTGAGCTTTTGACGGATGTGCAGGCTGCAACCAACATTAGTTGAAGAGCGAGAGCATTCGCAAGCCTACTTAACGATCTAGACGGACTTTTGCTTGTTCATGCGTCCATCTTGGTTGCGCGTGGCACTAACCCTTCTTTGCCTCTTTTACCGCTGTCGGAAATCTCACAGTTTAGGTCCCGAGAACCTCTATCTGCTTAATAGTGCCTCTCCAAGTCGACCGCTGCCAGGCATTGTGTCTATGATGGATTCGCATGAACGACGGGTCTATTTGGAAGCTGGGCGTGGGTACCGTCATTCCTTGAGAGTAAAATCTGTGTGCTTTCTTTGTTTCTTGCGACACCCACACATGGGAAGCGCCAAAACCTGGCTGGTTAGCCAACATGGCATTTACCTGCGGCATGGTTGGTTGAATTGCGCTCGTACTGTGCTTGGCACGCGCCTCTTGGAAATTTAACCCAATGTCTTACCTTTCAAGCCTGCTTGTTCCACTGGAATACTCCATGGCGAACCAAAGAGGTCTTTCCACCCTTGCTTGTACACAGCCGATGGCTCCGCACGGCGGGCACACGGCAGCAGCATGCTTTGGTGTCAATTGCGCATCTGCCCTTGCGAGACCCACGATACTGGGAAGCTGAGCCATTTTAATTTTATTTTCACGCACTTGCCACTGACTCCGCACGGCGGGCACACGGCAGCGGCATGCTTTGGTGTTAATTGCGCATTTGCCAAGACCCACGATGCTGGGAAGCTGCCATTTTATCTTCTACGCACTTGCCACTAGAACATGCTGAATAAAACGGCTCCGTTCTGGCTAACAAGACACCTGAGTGAAGCTGCGTTTTGAAAGGCCGAACGATCCCTGCTGGTTAAGTCTGCAAGTCGGCTGGTTTCACTTTTACAGATTCTCTTGTTCAGCTTTTTTGTTGTATTCTTGTAGTTCTTGTAGTTCTTATTGGGACCGAGTGCAGCAACTGCTGTCTTTGAGGCCCGCCCACGCCAAAAAAAAAACGACAAGTTCGACACTGGACCAAGGCAGCACCTCGAGGCACACGCTCGCCTTGGCCTCTGGTAAGGTGGCACGCCATTTGTTTTTTTTTTCAATCTTCGCTTGTAACACCCAAAAAAGCGTTTTTTTGTGTGGCTTTCCTTCATTTTCAAAATTTTGGAAGTGTCAGTCAATAGTATGCGTTTGTGGTATTGGACAGCAGTAAGTGCAGTGGGAAGAGGTGCAGTTTTCGTAGCAAAGTCCAAGAAGTGGAAAAATCTTTCAAGGTCTTCGCAGGGTTCGGACACTGGTGTTTGAACTTAATGCGAGAGTCCAAACACATCTGAGTTCAACACCGGTGTTCAAACTCTGAGTTGAAGTTCGAATCCAGATTTCAAACACTGGTGCTTTGGTCTGGTTGTGACAGATTTCTTGTTTTTTCTTCGCTTCTAACACACCAAGAGCGTTTTCGTGTCGCTTTCTCCTTCTTCTTTTTAGCAGTATTAGTAGTAATAGCAGTATTCGAAGTGATAACGTCGAACTGGTAGTCTCACTTGTTTCATATGTTCTGATAGTATAAGCAGTATTACTTGAATAAAAGTAAGTGTAGTATTAGGAAGCGTAGTAGTAATAGTAGTAGTAGTGGTAATACTAGAAATAGTAGTAGTAGTAGTAGTAGTAGTAGTAGTAGTAGTAGTAGTAGTAGTAATAGTAGTAATAGTAATAGTAGTAATAGTAATAACAGTAGAAATAGTAGAAATAGTAGTAATAGTAGTAATAGTAGTAATAGTAGTAATAGTAGTAATAGTAGTTGCGAACGGACTGCGATGCCTTGTCAAGTTCTAAGGTGTCACTATAAGAGCTGTGAGCAAGACCGTGTAAAGTGCAAGAGAAGGGGGCACGCTACGCGTCCCTCGACTCTAAGGGGGCACGCTACGCGTCCCTCATCTTTACCTTTCTATGTGACCGCCCACGCAACGTTTGGCTCAAGTCAATGCCCATAGCTAAGTGCTATAAGTGTCTTCTATCCTGAGCAATCAGAGCTATCCCGTTGCACAGACGAACCGCCGCCGGCAGTGAGTGCAAAAGGAACGGCCGCCGGTTCTGCCTGCATAGGATTGCACGTGTGGAAGTGTGAGAGAGACAGGGTCCAGTCTGTGGAGAGTGCAAGCCAGCCACACCTACATTCATTACAGCTCTGGTGGGGAGAGCAGCAACCTAGTCGAGATCAATCCCCCA